TATATATAAGATACAAGTCGATTAACCAAGAAACCAATGTTTCAGGCAATCTTTCGCTCAATCACCAAGTTCTTGATCGGTTATGGACACCGAACAGTTGCTTTATAAATAGTAAAGTTGCTCAAATTCACGAATCACCCTTCAGGTACCTTAAATTTACTCAGTACATTCCTTTTTTATTCATTTTCTTGCAGGAGTGTTTTCCTAATGTTGTTTCCCAATGGTAGCATTATGGTCAACTATCGCGTGCGAGTTAAAGGACCATGCTCAATGGAACTCAGTAATTTTCCCTTAGATTTACAAAAATGCGGATTAATATATGAAAGGTAAGCCAATCAGTTTTTCCTGTTACTTTTTATTACTACGGAAAACTTCAGTTTCAATTACAATAACCAAGAAGTACGAATGCGATGGTCTGATGATACTGGCGATCCCGTGCGACCTATGGCTGAAATTGTACTTCCCGACTTTGACCTCTTCAAAATCTCAGCGAACAGGATAGAAGAGGTATCATTACCCAAATTTCCCAAGCTATTAATTTCTTTCCCAGCTCAGGAGAATAAGCAGTAAGCCAAAGTTTTTTAGCCTTATCCAGCTGGAATGTGGGACGAATTGCATGTATCAATCATGTTCGAAAGGCGGTTCATATGGTACTTCATGCAAGCGTACTTGCCAACATATCTTACCATATTCATCAGGTAGGAGCCAGTCACCTAGAAATCTTCTTCAACAATTGTATTTTAGCTGGGTTTCGTTTGCGCTTGGCCCAAGGGCCATTCCTGCAAGGACGATGCTGGGCGTGAATGCTTTACTCGCTATGATCTTTCAGTTCGGTAACATTATGCGAAACCTACCTCGAGTTTCATATATCAAAGCTATTGGTGAGTTTTTTCTGGATAAACAAAATCCTACAACCATCTTCAAACTGATATCTTTGCAAGTAAATAAGAAAGTAGACAAAACGAGAAGAAGTGGAAGGATAAGCAGTTGACAAGACTTATTCAGATGTATGGATGTTAGCGTCGATGACGTTCATTTTCTGTAGTCTTCTCGAACTTGCCATTGTTGGATATAAGGTCCGAGACGAAAGCAAGACTGTAAGCAAAAGTTCGATCAAAAAATCCAAGGTAGGCGTTATAAATTTTCAGGATTGCAAAAAATGCATTTACATTTAGTAAATTCTGACTATTCTAGCCACCACTCCCTGATGAATCTCCGCGAGGTTCACTTTTGTACGAAAAACGGTTCATGTTTCCAGCTGGATGTAATGCGCCACGATCCATATCTAAGGTCAGATTTCTTTTTCCTTCTTTACTGGCTTTGTTAGCAAAGCCAATATCCAGATAACTTTTTTTAGTTTTTTCTCAATTTTTTAATTCAAAAAAAAATTTGTTATAATTTTTTTGAGACGTGACTGACTTTCACATTTTAGACATCGTCTTCGTGGCCGCCGGAAAAGATAGATTCGATCTCAAGTATTATGTTTCCGCTCAGTTTCTTCATATTTAACGTAAGTTACAGACAACCGTTACAGCCGAAATCAAGTAATCAGCGATTCGAGGGAATATGTTAAAATACTAGTACTTTTGCACAACAAACTAGAATTCTGCGAATATCCGCTACTTGATTTCTCGCCGAGAAAGTGTTCTTTAGTCACGAAATCTAATGATATTTTTTTATTGGCTGTAAAATCATGTGCAATTTGTTGTCGTTTTAAGAACTCTTTTTTGTGAGGAGCCTGCGTGAACTGAATTAAAGGTTTTTATGGTTTTTTCTTCGAAAAAAAAAGAGCCAGAAAGTTAATGTTTGCATAAGTTGTGAGTTGCGCCCATCTGCGTAATAATTTTCAGCCAAAACTTAACTTTTTTCTTCTTTGTATTATCGCTACATAAAATACTTTCAGATTGTATACTGGTCATATTATCTACAACGAAAGCAAGAAATATCAGATTCTATGCAAAAGTTGTGATTTTCCAATAACATGACTTGCTTAATAAATTGTACAGATTCGGTTTGTTGCCTTTGTACTGTACTTTATCTCACATAAGAAATGGTATGCGCTGGCATTTCATAGGCCATTTCCCTGCCTCAGTATGTTTTTGTGATCAGTATGCTCGCTTACCCCTTCTCCCAGCCCCATACCTCAAAGTTTGCATACTTCCAAGAGATGTTGTAATTAGTAAAGATAATCCATAGTTTTGAAAATTGATTTTACGTTGCAACTCGATGTGGGAAGAAGCAGTTTTCAAGAACCAGCACGCCCTCTTCGCTGGAGGCTTTGCGGGAACACACGTTGGCATTTTGCCAGTTAGAGACCAAAGGGAACGAAGTGAGGCAGACATTGGTTCCTAGGGCGATATGAATATACTGTAACTGCGAAACGGCGCGAACCGAGGAGGCACCCGCCTGTGCAATTCTCCGCCTGAAATAAATTATGTGCGGACACTGGGACTTAAAGTCGTCCTCACCCCAGTAGTCTCCCTGTGGTTGAA